GCCGCAGGCTGCTCTGTACAGAGCCTGGCACACAGGGGTGCTCGGTGCCGCCTTAACCACGTGAATGCAGGAAGCAGTGGTCAGAGAGGGCAAGGAGCCAGCTCAGGGTCTTACAGCAAGTCAGGGCAGACATGGGACGAGTGGAATGGACAAGACGGTGTGCAGCGGGGGCCCTTCCGAAGACCACAGAACATGGTTCCCATTTCTTGAACACCTACTATGTGTCAGATTCTGTTCAGGCTCCTTCTGCGTGTTAACTCATGTAACACAGCAACAGCTCTATGAATGTGGAACTATTAGTACCCCTGTTTTACAGAAGAAGAAACTGAGGCAGAGAGCGGAACATGAACCTTGACTGACTGCTCCAGGGCCTGCCCTTCTAACTACTTGTGTTGTGCTGTTTCACCTCTCAAGGTCCACATGTCCAGACAGCCCCGCTGGGCCTGGTCAGCCATCTTCCCCTGGGCAGGTAGAGGGTAGTGGGGCTGGGCCCATATAGCAGCCTCCTTCCCGTCTCCCCATGCGCTGCCTCCCCAAACCCCATGCCCTTCTTCACACAGCAGCCTGATGCAAGCTGGCCCGTGTGATTTCCGCGCAAAAACCCACACCTTCTACGCAAATGTTTGCAGCAGCTGTATTTGTAATCACCCCAAACTGGAAACAGCCCAAAAGTGCCACAGGGGGTGAATGAATAAACACACCATGATACATTCATGCAATGAAACAGTCTCAGCGATAAAAAGGAGCGCAACACTGAGATGCACAACACAGACGGGTCTCCAATGCCTTCCGCCGAGTGAAAGAAGCCAGACTCACAAGGCAGGGTTCGCGTGACGTTCTGGAAACAGCAGAACTCAAGAATGGAGATGAGATGAGTGATGGCAGGGTTTGGGAGGGGAGGACTGACTAAAGAAGGGCACAGGGGATCGTGGAGGGTGACGGAACTGGTCTGTATGCTGATCATAGTGGCGGTTGCCCGACTCGTCTCCATTTGCCAAAATGGGTAGAAAAGTAAACTGAAAAGGGTGGATCTTCCTCTGTATACATTTTACATTGTTATGGGTTGAATTGTGTCCCCCTAAAAGATATGTTAAAATCCTAACCCCCAGGACCTCAGCGCCTCAGAATGTGACCCTATTTGGACATAGGGTTGTTGCCGATGGAATTAGTTCAGACGAGGTCACGCTGGAGCAGGGGTGCTAATCCAAGGTGACTGGTGTCCTTAGAAGAAGAGATGAGGGGACAGACCCCAGGGAGGAGACAGCCCTGTGGCGACGGAGGCAGAGACTGGAGTGATGCAGCTTCAGGCCAGGGGACCCCAAGGACCGTGGGGGTTAGCGGGGCACCAGAAGCTGCACAGAGGCAGGAAGGATTCCACCCAGAGTCTCAGAGGGAGTCCAGCCCTGCTGTCACCTTGATTTCGGACGGCTAGCCTCCAGAATTGCGAAAACAGATTTGTTGTTTTGTCAAGCAGCCCTAGGAAACCAACACACAGCCCAGCTTTAAAAGTGGGGGAACAAGCCTGCCTCAGTCTCCACGGATACAGCCCAGGAGGCCCTGCTGTCTGGTCCCCTCTCCTGCACAGGCCACCCTCCATCCTCGCGGAGTGCAAACGCCAGACACATCGAGCCTGCAACACCTGCGACAGGGCCAGGCTGGTTCACCCCACACACCACGTGAACCCGGGAAACCCCCAGACGTCACTCAGCTCGGCTCACGTCTCCCCAGCAAAGCTCTCCCAGACGCACCCTAGGCTGAGCAGGACACCCCTCAGCCAGCCGGGGACCCCGGCACTCCAGGGAGCCATCCCGCATCCTGCAGGCACAGCACTGCCTGTGGCTCCTGTGGCCCCACAAGACTGAGGATCCCTGGGGCAAGGATGAGTCATCGGGGAGCTGCTGGACCAGCACCGTGCAGGCTGGAGAGGGGCTCCAGGACAGTGTGCTGGGGAGGAGCTGGGGCTTTGGCAACTACTCGCACCGTGCCCTGCCCGGCCCTGGCCCCGCAGAGTGCAGCCGGGGTGAGGTCAGGTGTGTCTCTGGCCTCTGCTCTCGGGGCCTCCCACCCAGAGTTGACTGCAGTGACTTGTCCAGTCTCCCCCTCACCCTGCCACTGGGGCTTTCACAGGCCACAGCCCCTTCCACAAGTTGCAGGCCTCCCTGCGGGCCCCTTCCCATTTCCCAGAGGCCCTCTACCCTGGTCAGCCCCTCCTCACTGCTCTCATTGGCATTAACCCATCATATATTCATCCAACAAACATTTCCCAAGCCTTGGGGATGGTCCCCCCCAGCTCCTACAACTCTCGCTCAGGACGAGTGCTGAGTCGAGCCCTCTGTGGCCCACACAGTACTGACCTGGCCGTGACACCCTGCCTGGAGGAGTCACTCTCACTGCCCTCGGGAGCTTACAGTCTAGCGGGGCCACAGACAGAGAATACACCTCGACAGGCGTGAGGAGCGAGGCTCTGAGGGTGCTGATGGGTCTTCCACTGGCCCGGGTCCCTGAAAACCTACGTGCCGCCTCGGTGTAAATTAGGAAGAGATGCTCTGGGCGACCCGTGGAGGAGCAACCCCCTCCACCCCCGCACACACACCCAGCATCACACAGGGCTTGGCAAGGGAATGAAATTTTAGTCCCTCTTTGTTTCTCTCTCAGCAGGTGCCTTTGTGCAGTGAACAACGTAAGTGACTGTGTGCAACAGTTCTGGAGGCTTGTCAGCCTGGAAGGCTTTTCGCAGGAGGTAGAGGTGGGCATGTGCGCTTAGTCCCTGGGGGAGGAAAGAGCTCACGCTGGAGGGAAGGCTGATGTGCCTGCCCCCCCACCCCACCTCCAGGGCCTCACACAAAGGAGCAGCCTATGCGCCTGCACAGAGCCTTGTTAAGAGCCTGGGTCCAGCTGTGTGGCTTTGGGGTGATCACGTCCCCTCTCTGAGCCTCATCTATAAGTAGGGTCTGCATTAGGGGGCCATCAGAGCAATATTGAGTTCTGATGCCTGATGACGCTAGAGCCAGGGATGGGGGCCGCTTTGGCCTGTGGAAAGAAGCTCCCTGACTGTCTTTCAAACCACTTCAAAGGCACTCACCCAGCCTTTCAAGACAGCCCACCCAGCTCAATCCCAGGTCACACATGGGGCCTCTCAGACAAAGCCCTGAGGGCCTCCCCCTGCCTGGGGGTGATTCTGGGCTGTGGGAGGGCAGCTCAGAGCTGGGTCTTGCAGGCTCCAAATGATTCTGTTATCCCTGGAAAAGGGAAGGGCAGCCCGGCCATTTCAGGACAAATCTTTCCTGAGGCCAAGCAGGTGAACACTCAAGAGCCCTCGTGGCCAGTGGTCAGCACAAACCTAGCCTGGCCCCCAGCAAATGCTCCATAAAGAGTCAGTGAATGAATGGTGGCAGCCAGCAAGGATACAGGCACTGTTTAGAGCAGGCCCCAGCCCTTCCTGTGCTGGTGTGATGAGAGAACAAATCTCAGAATGTCAGCACAGGGAGGGTTAACCTAGGAGAGTTCTCCATCTAAAGCACAGATGAGGAAACTGAGGCTGAAGGAAGAGACATGGCTGCCTTGCTCTGCAACACTTAGCCCTGTCAAAGCACAGAATTTGGGAGTCAGAACTTAAACCAGAATAACAAGTCTGAAGTGTCCGGTGAAATCTAAGACTCACAAACACTCAATATGAAAAAAAATTGTTTGCAATGTAATCCTTGAAATAAGAGGCTTAATCGATGCAAAACTGCTTCTCCCTTCTCCTCTTCTTCCTCCTTCTCATCTCCACTAAGAAATAAAGGCTTGCAGGTCGCCCTGCAAAGTAGCTTTCGTACTTCTGGAATATAACCTGGTGCTATGTGACAAGAGATAAATTTCTTTGTGTGTTAGTAAAGATTAAGTTTGTCTGTGATAGAAAATCTAAAATAACAGTGATTTAAATAAGGTTGATATGCATTCCTCTCCCGTGTACAAGTCTAGGTAAGTAGTGCAGGGCTGAGATGAAGCACCAATATGTCTGAGACCCTTATTATATTGTTGCTCTACTCAGCTTCCATTCTCAAGTTTACTTCAGAGTCCAAGACGGCTGCTTCAACTCCAGCCATCATGTCTATATTTCAGACAACAGGAAAGAGGAAAATAAAGGTATGACTCTTTTCTTTAAGGAAATCACCAAGCAAATTTTACTCCCCACATATTTAACTGTCTGAACTTGATCACATGGCCACGTCTAGCTGCAAGGAAACTGAGAAGTGTTTAGCTAAAATTTACATCCAACTAAAATTCAGGGGGCCAATCAAGAGGTTTTGCTTCACCCCTGAACTCAAATACTCCAAGATGGTGATAGAGCTCAAGGAAATGGTCCCCAAACCCTAGACCCATATAAGTTTTCGGGAGCTTCATTTAAAACAGAAGGGACTTGGAAAAAACTTGACACGAGTCCATGCCAACTCTAATCATTTAAAAGATCATAATATTAAGGCCACCAAAGATGATAAATAGGCAACATACAACCACAGTGTGGCATGTAGAAATACGTATAGGAAATAACAGTGAAAAAAGAGGAGCACAAATTAACATATACACACAGATCAAAACTGTACACCAAAGATGTAAATAAACAAACATGCGCTTGGACTGGGTGTAGCCTTAAAGAGATGAAAGTGTTTGATGATTTAAATTTCACTATTTTTATGTGTCTTTGTGTGAACATTTTCATGTATAAAATTTTTTTTTGAAAATCAGTAGCATATACACACCACACACACACACACACACACACAGAGGTAGCAGCCCCCACCTGGTCTCATGGCCCAAGTAATTAAGAACATCCTCTCATGTAACGACCCTGTGAGGCAGAGATGGTTGCTCACCAGGCAGAGGACGAGGAGGAGGGTATCCTGGCAAGTATAGGTGCAGAGACTTATCCAGGGTTGCCCAGCTCTAAGTGGGAGAGCAGACCCGTGGTCTTCACCACCACAGTAAAATCCAGCTCTCCCACCAGTATCCAAGTGGGCCCCAATTCCCTCTCTAGGCCCATCACACAAAGAACCCTTCTTCCCTGTCCTCTGACCAGGCTCTTCAAGGCTCCCACACACAACTTGTCCTCTCCCACTTCCCCACTGCATGCTCTGCCTATCTAGGATATCCTTCCCTGTATATGCCCGATTTCCGCTGTTAAAATTCTACTCATCCTTCAAGACCCAATGCAGATGCCACCTCTGCCAGGGAGTCCTTCCTGCTCACCACAGCTAAGTGTACTAGAGCCTCGTGACTTTTTAATACAGTCCTCTATACTATAATTATGTGCATATTTCTCTTATTTCCCCAGTAGATAAACTGGAGACACCTAGATGTCCAACAAATGTTCGATAAATGGATGGGTGCATGGATGGGAGGATTGATGGATGGCTAAATGGATGGAGAGACGGAAAGCTAGGTATATGGATGGACAGGTAAGGGTGGATGAGGAAGACATTCACTGGGAAAAGAACCCCTGAATATGTTTTAGATAGATGCTCTGTCAAAATGTCAAGAACGGAAGGAAGCAAGCATAATAAATGCTGTCACCAGGTGCCACTGGTAGAAAGTTAAGTCCTTGCTTTGTACTGCAGTATCCCTGGAGAAATGTACAGTGTCCATCTCTGACACTGATTGAGATTAAGGAGGCTGGGGCCATGGCGGTTGGGGAAAAAGGTCCCCAGTGTCTTCGTTCTTGAGGGCTTGCCGGAGGATTAGCCAGAGATTGTCAGGTGGTGAATTTTAGATGCATAGTCCTTTATTTCTCTGGTCCCTGGAAGTGGGTGAAGATGCACATTTAATAATCCAGGGAATAACCTAACCCAGGGAAAACCTTTGCTACCTCTGCGATCTCCTCTCCTTCTCCTGGGCTGTCCCCCTCCATGGTCCCTTCTCCTCTTTCTGTCTTCAGAAAAAAGGCTCTTTCATCAGCCCCGACACCTCGTATTGAATGTCAGTCAAGGAGTCAGATGTTGTGCGGCATTTGAAGTACCAACTCCTAACCAGGGAATAAGAAGTTCTTGGCTTTGATAAAGACCCCAGAGTCAGTGATGAAATGGGGGTCATGTTTTGGGGGGAAGGGCCTCCTAAGAGAGCCCCTCCAGGGCAGTCCCTCCCCGCCCTGGCCTCCTTCCCCTGAAACCGCGACCTCCCTGGAAACCAGGTTTGCAGGTGGACGCAGGATCTGGGGGAACTCTCACTGTGACTGGGCCCAGGAGAGAGGATACCAGGGGGCCTTGTCCTCGGGCTGGCGCCATTACCCCATAGGATGTGGCCTGAGTGTGCACTGCTGCTGCTGCACACAGGACGGGCCTTGACCACAACCGCTCGCTCCCTGGGCCGTTTCTTCTAAAAGGGAACTGATATTTCCTAGCAGGCTGGTTGGTTCTTTCAAACATGTACAGATTCAGGTAGGGGTACTCTCAGGGATTACTGGTGAGATGGGACTAGGGGCTCTGCCGCCACCAGAGCTGTTCCAGCCACGGGGGCAGCCTCCTCCGAGCCCCAAGCCCCGGAGAGGAGAGCGCCTGAGGCTGCGCGGGGCCTCCAGGGCAGGTGGGGAGAGACAGGCAGCGGCCATGGTGGCGGCTTTCAGATTCTTCTATCAAAGGCCAGAGGCTGAGGGCCACACGAGCATGGAGTCAGTAGGGCCCTCCCACTGCCCTGTGGACACCAGGGCTCAGGGAAGGGCTCCCAGCCCCTTCTCCTTCAAGGCCATGCTGGCAAGAGGGAAGGGACTGGTTTCACTGCATAACACTGTGTGTTTGTATGTGTGTGTGTGTGTGTGTGGCAGGTTGGGGGCTAGGGGAGCAGACACACTGTGTCATCTGCCCTCCCCCTCCCCCGGCACAGGGATGGGCTGGCTGTCCTGGGGCCGCACTGGGTGTGCCGTGGGGAGGCCTGGCCTGCCTGGCAGGGAGCCCCTCCCCGCAGCTCGGGGGCCTGCCTGATCCCTTCCTTACTGGGACTTCCCTTGGACCTAGTCCCTCTCAAACTCTGCCAGGGGCAGCCTTCCCAGCCAAGAACCCCAGGCTGCATGCTGCCTCCTCCGCATCTCCACGGCTCCCACACCAAACGGCCAGAGCAGGTGCCACTCACGGATCCGGTCACACTCAGAGAGGCCACTGCAACATCACCTTCCCAATTCCCCGTCCAGGGAGCAAGTGTTACCAGGAAGCCAGTAGCCCCTCCCCAAAGTGGGCTCCCAAAACCAACGCACTTTTTTCAAAACTAGTTTTTCAGAAATCACCCCACTGCATGAAAAAACATTTTCTTCCAGTCACTCGGTCAGGGTGATGACCCAGAAGTCTTCTTTCTGGGTCTTTGCTTCTTATGAAAGTGCATTCTAGACTGCTCTATCAGAGGGAAGAAGAGCTGCCTCATCTCCGCCCGGCACTCCAACATTGCTCCAGGATGCCAGCTTCTGCTGCCTGTCGGCTAGTAATTCGGGGAATCACTGAGTGTGAGACTGAGTGGGGTCCTTAGAGATCATTGACTTCATTTCTCAGATGGGGAAAACCAGGCCCAGGGAGAGGAAGGCACTTGCTCTCTGGAGTACAATTCCAAATCACCAGAAGGCACGGGACTCCAGAGATCTCCTCCAACCCTACTGATGTCCTGCAGCATGCAAGTCCCCAAGCATCTTCCGAATCGGCAAAGGACAATACAATTAGGTCAACTCTGACTGCCAGGTGTGGCAGGGACGGGAGAGGGGGTGAAGGGGACATAAAATGGATAAATTCTGCTGAAGCAGCAAGAGCAGGGTTTCTCAGACATTCCTTCAGCAACTTTTAATTTTGCCAAAAAGACATTAAAAGTTAACAACCGCTATCAACGTGCCCAATCATTTTATAAAAGAAAGGAGGCTTAATACATCAGAAAGACCTAATCTCAGAATAAGGGACAGTTCTACCCAAGAAAAGATAGTTTGGCAACCTTGGCTGATAGGCACACACACACACACACACACACACACACACACAAACACACACACACACATCACGCAATAACAACACCTTATTGTTCCAGTTTCTCAGGGGACCACAGACCTTCATTTGGGACCTGTGACCAGTCAGGTTTCCCCCAGATCCTGTCCATGTGGCTGACCCCATTCTTTTGACCGAGGATGCATATCTATTTGTAATCCAGATCCAGCTTCACCTTCTCCAGCCTCTTTCCCATAGAAGTGAGGGACACAGCCGGGGAGGATAAAATGAAGAGAGTGGGGTCCCTGCTCAAATCCTCTGCTCCTTGGTCCAGACTGGGGATGGGATGTGGTGGCCTGGGGCTCACCACCTGCTGTAGAAGAGGAGTTGGTCACCTCACCTGCCAGCTCTGGGCCCCACCCCCATGCCGGAGGTCTGGGCTGCCTTGCAAACACTTCCACAAGTTCAGGTGCTTCAGGACACTAAAGAGAAAGCTGCCAGACAATTTTTAGAATTCTGTTCAGTATACCACCGTCTTCAAGCACTTAGTGGGTGCCAACTGTGTGCAGGACAGAAAGATGGAACTAAAGGTTCTGATCCCTTTTAATTGGAAATTTATAATCTAAGTAGGTGACATAATATTTCAAAGGGCTTTTGGCTTCTCTACAATCCCTAGGCAAATAAGTAGTTTGTGCAATGTTTTTTGAGTATTCAAAAAAGGAGACACCTCTGAGCTGGTAAAGGCCTCTAAGCCTTTGCCAGACACTTCCCCACTCCGAGCCGGCCTCGCCTTCCCCTCTTCGCTGTTGCCCACCCAGTTCTGCTCATTTGTCACTGCCTGCATGACAGAAGCTAGTGGTCGAGACTCTCACTCAACAGAGAACCTCGCCGTGACAGATGGAGTCCGTGAGGGGGTTGGAAGGACAGAGTTTGTGGTTGTCTGTCACTCATTCTTTCCTGCCCTCTGCTCCAGCCCGGGGCTGAGAGGCGCCGCAGGCCAGCTCAGGCTCCTGTCTGTGAAATGGAGCTCCCGGGAGGCCTGAGAGGGCACCGAAGCGCCCGGGATGGGTGCTCCCTTCAAATATCACACCCATTCCTGGTTGGTTTCCGTTTTGATTTCCTGACCTCCTGGATTAAAATGCAGGTCTCCTCATTGTACTGTAAACATCTAACCACTTACTGCCTCAGGAAAGAGCACTAAATAGGGACCCAGGCCTGTCAAGTAGGGGAGATGGGAAGGAGGGCCCATGGGCAAATGTGCTGAGACTCCCCGATCCCAAGAGGATCCCGTACCCCAGCTCCCTGCACTCCTACCTACATGCTTCCCAGGGGTACATGGGGGTTTCTCAGGGCCTGGAGTGAAGGCTTAAGCTGATGCCCAGTCTTTTGCCTCCTGTGGGCCAGAATCTCTTTCAGGTCTGGAAGGGGATGGCTATCCCAGCTGAGCTCCAGCCAGGACCACCTGGGAGCATTAGTCCCTGAAGGCAAAAAAGCCCAGGTCAGTGAGCAGAGCAGTGGTCGGGACCCTGAATTCATTACCTGATCCTGTTCTGGGTGGACCCACCCCAGAAGAGCCCCTGTCTTAGGGACTGGAGTGCTTGAGGGGCACCTCACGGGGTTCAGCAGGACCCCTGTAATCATTATGTCAGGCAGGAGGCAGAAAGCCAGGGCTTTCTCAACCCTGGGGCCCGGCCCAGGCAGCCCCTTGCAGGCCCAAGGCTCTGGAGACCCGAGTTCCAGGCCCAGCTCCCGTGGCCTTAGGTAAGGCACTTCCTCTTTCTGGGCCTCCGTTTCCTTCTCATCGTATTAGGCGATTGGGTGAGGTCTGTGATGGCCACATTTTTTCCAAGAGTGGAAAATATTAACCGACCCTCAAATTATCAAACACATGTCCTCAGCAACTCCGCCACTCAGTACGGTGTCCAGCCACTTGGCAGTCACAGATTCCCCAGTGTCATCTCGATGCCTCTGTCCCCCACCTCACCTCCAACCCACCAGCTAATCCTGTGGCTCCAACTATTCCCGCCTCCACTGCCCGCTCCACCCTGGACCCAGTCCTCTTTCCCTGCCACCACAGGGGCCT